TTAACAATCCAAAACCCTGAACCATCCCCAGTTCCTGTGGTAGGCTGTGTAAATTGTAGCAACAATGTCTGGGCTGCAACAATATTTATTTAGAACACCTTGTGAAATTTATAAAGTTAAAGAGATTTCATTTTTTTTAAAAGAAGTAATAGCAAGCTTGGTAATTCACTTTGGTTCAACCCTAACATCCCCATAGACTATAACTTATTACATAACCAGGTATACAATAAAATGATCATGTTTTAAGGTGATTTTATTTCAATGAAAAGAAATTGATTGCTGTTCATAATGAAAATAAATCTGCAGTTTGCTTATAATCTCATATTTGAATATAAGTAAAAATTCTGTGCAAACACATAAAAGGGGAATTTACCATTTTCATTAGAAAAAAATCTTCTGTGGGGGGAAGGATAGAAGGACTAAGAAACCCTGAAGTCTCTTGGGTAATGTTTTAAAAATGTTTTCATTTAAAGATTGTAAAACAGAAAAAATAAACCATCTAATTCTGAAGAAATCAGGTTCTAAGTTAATACAATTTTCATTAATTTATTATAATTCATACTGCAAAATTACCGGCACGGATCACACCAATGATAAGTTAAATGCCTACAATGTATCATATAGTAATTTTAATATTCTAACCATTTCATGAGATTGAGCTAAATGCTCTGTCCAGATAAAAGAAATTATTTTATAACTGATCAAATCAGTATGACTGCCTGCCTTTATCTCAGTTTTCTTTTGGGGCTGTGTGGGGGTGGGGTAGCAAGGGAGGATCTATTGCTTATTCAAGACAACACAGTTGATACAGCACAACTGTCCCCACTTAACTTCTAAGGAGTTACCGAGTGGTTCTCCCCATTACTCTGACTTGAAAATCTGCAGTGGGACTTCTTGAAGGAAAAACAAAAGCACAATACATATTTGTTTTCAGGATGCTGATCAGGTGATTAGTTGTAGAAATTGTGAAGCCAAAATTTGTATTTTCCCTCTACTTTTGGAAACAAAGTATTACAGTCTATATATACGGTTTGCTCTTCTTTAACTTCCTTTTTAATTCTAATTTTCACTGATTCTGTTCCATTTGGTATGGTGAATCCCGGGCCCTTTGTTGCCATAATGGGTTAGCTGACAGGAGAGAACGGGGCCTCTCAGCCCCCACAACAATGGGCCTCGCCACATAGGAGGGGAGAGAAAAGCTGCTCTCCACTCCCTGGGGACCAGAGCCATTATCGCTGGGTGGTGAATTGCAGCAGCCTTGCTCTGTGCCCAGACACACCTGGGGCTCCTTCCTCCATGATGTCGGTTGCACTGACCCTACACAAAAGAAAAACGAAATTTCAGTATTCACATCATTCACAATGTCTAGCAAGAGAGAACCTAATTGTAGTGGCTGGAGAATAGGTCTGAAATATGAGACACAAAATGAACCCATTCCCAAACCATTCTGGTCCCAATTTTTTAAAAATTAAAAGAGTCTTGGCTGGTTAAGATGATTCAAAGGACTCTGCCACCTGACACGGCTCTGTAGCTTTCTCTGTGTGTTTCCTCTCTCCCCACCTGGACCATAAATGACTTGAGAACAGAGCTTAGGCTTTAAACAAACTTGCATTCCTATCCCCTAGCATGGTCCTCCACTCCTCATGTGGTGCTCTGCACTTAACCTGCACTGATTGATGTTGGCTGAGGTCAATGACTATGGTTCGATGGGTCTACCACTAGTACAGCCTGCATTTTAATGGGTTTTCCAGGAGCAGAGAAGGAATTGGCGAAGAGCCAATCTTGATTTTTTATCTCATTCTCCACTCTATCTCCCCACCTCCAATCTCTGTGTGCACTTTCACCACAGGCATTTATGAGACAGCTGGACATGATCGGGATGTGATCACTCATTCGGGAGACAGTTATATGAGTGGCCCACAGAGGGTGGGTCAAACTGTTTGCAGCAGAGCAAGCAAAATGAGAGATATTCTAATCTATTCCTGAGTACTCAGCTGAGTCCTTAGCTCTTTTCTGAGTTTAACCATACTCTGGTCAAATAATTGTGCTATTCGTTAACTTGCAAAATTATATGTGCCTCTAAAGTGGATTACTTTTATAATAAAGAATTATGTATTTTTAGGTCTTCAAGAAAAAGTGGTATGTAACTACAAGACATTCCATTACAAGGTCTGACAATTAAGTTTGCAAACTCATCCTAGAAAAAGTGCTACCTACCTCATTGTTGAATATTACTACGGTCACCTTTGAAGTACTCCCCTTGGGAAGCTATGCACCGATGCCAGTGCCTAGTCCACCCTTCAAAGCAATTTTGAAACTCTTTTTCTGAAATGGCCATCAGAGCTGTCATCATATTACCCTTGATGTCCTGAATGTCATCAAAATGTCTTCCTTTCAATATTTCCTT